AATATACCTTGTTGCCTTGAATGGCCAAAAAGAGAATACCGGACCTAATCTCTTTTGCTTTTACTATCATGTTTGAAGCCTGATCATATTGTTTTAGAATTTTATATGAACTTGGAAAGTCATTCATGTGATGGAGGGGCTAACGATGAACTTAAGCAGTTTTTTTTTTTTTTTTTTTGGTTGATTTTTCATACAAATAATGAACTTTATTGGCTTCTTTTCTTTAATTCACAACTGCATTCAGTTCGGAGTAAGACACAGATGTGAAGGTTAAGGATTTTGATCCACCAGAGGATGATGACAAATCCCGTTAATAGCACAAAAATACTAGCAAGGTTCTTGTTGACTGTGTCAGTTGGGATTAAAACTATGTCTTTTGTAGATATACCCTCATAGAAAAAAAAATGGCAAGTTTTTAGCATATCCCAGATGAATATTCAACTTGTACATTTGGCTTTCATTAGGATTAAATCTTAACAATCTGTTGTGACAAATTATCTGCATGCAGAGTGTGGTATGAAAATTGTTGTCTGAATTTGGTTGTGTTACTGTAATCTCATTTATGTTGAAAATTCATTATTTGATTATCTTCAAATTAACCTTTTATTTTTATTTTTTTCTTCTGTTGGCTTCTGAAAGCTTTAAATATTAATTTTATGTCTGGTCTACTTTCTTTGAAAAGTTGACAGCCAAAAACCATGGGAGGATTGGACGTACACTAACTGCCAATTTAAGATGCCAACAAAGATTACAACTTTAGATAATAAATTCAATTATTTAGTAACAACTACAGAAGGTTGATCATTCCATTAATTTTTTATATTTATAAACAAAAAAGATGCTAAGTTTAAACGACTTTGAATGGGTGGACTTTTCAGTTGAACACATAATCCTTCATTATATATATATATATGATGACTTTGTATGTCATCAGGACATACAAAGTTTTTCAGCGCCCTAGCCCCTAAGCATTATGTTTCCTTTTAATCGGTTGTTTGATTTCTTCAGTTGTCTTATGATCAATTTAAATATTATCATTTAAATAATTTGACATTTTGAAGCTGATTAATATTATGACTTGGCGCCACACGATAATCAAGATTTGGGGTCTACATTTACATCATAAATATATGCCTAGAGCAATTTGACTACAACTTTATAATGGAGGGCCTTGCAACTTGCTTCACCTAATCTAATTGCCACACATCATCACCATGTGATAACGAGTTCTCTACCATAATGCAACATGCATTTCATCCATTCCATTCCATGTACCTTAATTTATCATTCTGTAATTACTGTTTTCAAAATAAGGAGAAAATGAATATGTTTCTGCATCTATGAAGAAACGACATATCGTATTAGTGAATATCAAAACAACGGCATGTCGGTGAGATATATTTTAGAGCAACGACAAAACGTCAAGGATGTCACATGGGGTCTCACATAATTTAACTTATGGGTATGTTGAAAGGACGAATTATCCATAATGATCCTGACGTGGATACAATCTAGTTTAAAAATATTTCTACATTTGAAAACATACCCGTAGATTATTGGCCTAGACAATTCATGACAAAGTCACCACACTATAAATACCACCAAGTTCTCATCTAAGGCTTCACAACTTTCGCAAGAAACAAACAGTATAGCATTTAAGCCTTCAACTTTCTCTCCCACAAAACCAAGAACTATGAGGGTACGTATTTATCAACTTAGTATATATCTACCAAATTTTTTTCATTTTATTTTAATTAGTGATAACAATCTACTCTATTATTATGTCATATTATATGTAAATCAATACGATTCAATCACATATTTCTACTATTCTTTTACCATTAAACAACCTGCATGTGTTAAGGTTTATTAATATATAAATTGCTGTTTCATGTAATTTATTAATTGTTTTACTGGTTGCAGCAAAAGATGGTAATCGAAGTTTCCGTGCATAACACCAAGTCCCGCACCAAGGCCTTGACCATTGCAGGTGGCTTTGCCGGTAAGCAACAATTAATTGAGTTATGTTTCTCTATTGAATTAATTTGAGTTACTATACATGCTAAAAGAATAGATAAATAACTGGTGGGAAAATTAATTTTGAATCTGGAGTGTTATCAGTGGCGTTACAAGGGAAGGACCTGAGGCGAATAGAGGTAACAGGAGACGGAATTGACGTGGTTACACTAACAACTTTGCTAAGAAAGAACGCGGGGCATGCAGAGCTGGTGAGTGTGAGCCCAGTGACTGTGGCAGCTGAGGGCAGTGGTGACGGGAGCAATATTAGTGAAGAAAATAAAGGACCAGAAAATGAAGAATATTCCACGTTCACAGCGGAGACACAGTTCATCTGGTGTCCTTGTAATGGTGATCACGGGGTTCCGCATTACCGTTACGATGACTTTGATGATCACTATGGCCGAGGCCGAGATTATCCCGGTTGCCCCGTTATGTAAACTATATATATGAATGGGGTTGTGTGGTTGTTTTGATGTGTCTGGTGTTTTCTTTTGAGTCTGGCTACAGGGTACAGTACAGTAGTGTTAAATTTATATTTAGTATCAATTTTGGCTGGGGATTAATGAGTGATGATTTGATATTAATTCCATTAACAATTATAAACCATAAAATTTAATACCAAATCTAAGGATTTACACCCTCCCTCACAATAAGTATATTATCTCATTTAAAAAAATAATTTTGAAGTATGAACTGACTTATAATATATAGGCTGATTTTCAGACAAGAGTTTTGTTATGCCTGAAAAATATAGGGCTGACGTAAGGTCCAATCAGCATGCAAAAGTCAGAGTATGGGTACACCCACTACCGAGTCACGTGAGGAAAGAGGCAGCCTGCTTCTATCAGAACAGTAGGTGCGCGCCAGACCAGTCAGAAGCTGTGGTGATTCCACGTGTCCAATCCCTGCTCCAAATCGCACAAATCACTCTAGAAAGTGGGCAATGTGACATAAAGAATGATTTGTACGGATAATCCCACCAACTCACAGATTCAGTAATCATAATGTCAATGCATCCCACTATAAATGGGGAGCTCATCTCTCATTCAGGGGATTGGCTCATTTTTACTCTTGATTAGCTACTCTTTCTCTCTATAATATAGCACTCACTCGCTTGTACTATTATTTGTAAGTTAGTCAGCTAATGCAACCTGACACCTATCATTAATAAAACATCAGTGGACGTAGGATTTGCTACCTTAGCATCCGAACCACTTTAAAAGTTGTCTCCATTGCATTTACTCCCATTTTCCTTTATATTCACGTGTGTCTTCTGGGCCTGCTCAACATTTCACACGTGCGTTTAGTTGGTGTAAAAATCACGCATCAACAAGTTTAAATATTTACAAAGAGAATATTTGAAGGGAATTCTGGCGCATTCTGTTTGCTTCGGGAGAATAGCTCTTCGCGTTTGGATAATGAACTCAGATAGACGTTGTTTGCGCATTTGAATACAATTTCGTTGTCAGAACAATGTATGGAGAAGCTGAAATTCTGGTAATGAATTAGTGAACGATTTTAAATCAGTTATAAAAATTACAGGGTGAAGTATTATTATTTTTATAAGAAGGAGGATTTGTGTGTGGTATATATACAAAATAAAGGAAAAAACAAAGAATAAACGGAAAAAGAGAAAGAGAGAGAGAGAGAGAGAGAGAAATCATGAAGATCAAGGGTATGGGTTGTCTTTGTATTCCTCTTTGTAAGACTAGCACTTCTCATATGCATTAGAAATAGGATTTAAAGAAGTTGTAAGCGGTTCTTAGTTCTAGCAATGTCACTCATTGTGGTTGTGGTGGTAGTTAGATCAATTTTAAAATTAAAGAATCATTTCACTGGGGATTAATTTCCATTTTTAACATTGTAAAATAATTAATTGAAAAGCAGTAAATTGCCATGTGGCATTCAATTACATCCGTCGATAAAATGTCTAATTAAGTAAGAATAATACTACACATATATCATTCTCATACAACATTATGTGGTAAGATGTGATTAGGTGAAAGTTTAATTTTAATTTTAAATTAACCAATCATATCTTATCATATAATATTGTATGAAAAATATTATATGAAAATGATGTATGCGTAGTATTATTCATTAAGTAATCTATTGCAAAAGACAGTTGCATCATCATATAATTGAAAGAGGCGTTTGGGGCTTTCCTATCTCTTATGTATCTCTTTATTCATCAGTAAAATGAAACTACGTGCCGCATTATCATCCAATACATAGAACTATCTCCTTAACTACAATTTCTGTTGTCAATTGAGTGTTACTTCTCATAGATGATTAATACATACTTTTATATTTTTCAAAATTTGTTTTTCAACTAACATAAACTATGTTGAGTACTCGTGTTGAAGTTTTTTCGCATATATATATTCTCAATATTCTACCTAAACGACATTGATTTTGACACTTAGCCCAAAATATTATTAAAATATGATTAATGATAGGAAACATTTTCAGTAGTTTAAGAGATTAGTTAATAATGAATTAATTTATTTATAAGAGTCAATTTGTCTTGCCACCGCCTCGTTAGATTGTGATAAAATATGTAAGTTAAGGATACTTATAATAAATAAAGCGATTGGTACGTGACACATACTTAACGGAGGCGGAGGACAAGGCGCATATATAATGACTTGCAGTGGGCATTCATGGACCGGCCACGGCCAGTACCCATGACAAAATCGACATGCCGGTTAAGATTTGAATGAAGTTATGTGTAATCCGTTCCATATTTCCATAAGTGGAGAAAATAAAGTACGGAAACGGTTGAATACTATCAACACATTAATAAATAAATTTGTTGGGTAAGTAGAAAGGACAATTTAGCTGATGAAGATTGATTCCATTGAAGTTTGAACCCACCTACTTACTCATTATTTTTATCATTAACGTCCTCATCAGAACCCCCAAAATTCCCTTTAAATAGCACCAAACGTTTCTTCCTCGGCTTTAAAACTTTGAGAAGACATTCATTTCCAGACAAAACACAAGTCAGCCCATAACATGAAGGTATGTTTTCAAATTACAAACTCTTCTATTTATTTACCTTAATTTTATAATCTTTCACCGCCGGGGTGGCAGCAAAAGATGGTGATAAACGTTCCTATGCACAACGACAAGGACCGCTGTAAGGCCAAAAAGATCGTAGGTGGCATTTCAGGTAAACAAAATTTAATCTTTTCTAATTCTTTTTTTTTTTTTTTAATAATCAAAGATATTCAGATCAATTAATAGGCATCTCAATTAATCTTCTAAAACATTTTGAATTATTGACTGGATATCCAGTAATCACCATTATCAAAAATCGTGGAGATTCGAATTTTTTTTTTTCCTAATTGGATGTGTACTCTAAGAACATACATATATTATTAATCTATTTTAGTAAATGTTAATTAACTTTTAACTAGTTATTGTCAGTATTTCAGTCCGAGCCTTATAAATAAAAACTTGTACCTATGTATAATGATATAAAATTGGTAAATTTTGTTGTGTAAATTGATGGTAATTGTAATTTATGGACATATATGATTGAAAGGTGTGTTATCAGTGACATTAAAAGGGGAGGACCTGAGGCAGATAGAAGTAATTGGAGTTGGGGTCGACGCGGCCACGATTACAACCAAGCTTAGAAAGAAAGTTGGGCACGCAGAGCTCGTTACTGTTGCCCCTGCCGATGATCATAAAAAACCACCTGTAAATGAAGCCAAGCCAGATCCGGATCCTGTCCGGCATCCTGATATTTGTGGGATGCCTGATTACCAAATGGTTCCTGTCTACCGGAACTACCAGTACTATCAAGATTATCCCACCTGCTCCATTCTATGAAAATTAAATACCTAAGGAATTTCAATAAAAAGTTGCAGTTTAAAACTTTGGTGTTGTGGGGTTTACTTTGGCCATTTTATGTTGCTTGTTCATTCACACATTTGAATAAGTAAATTTTTTTCAACAATTTTTCATCTTTATTCAATCATTCAAACAAGTATTCTACTATCTACACTATCTTGTATCATAGAATTTTCCTCTTTTTTTTTTTCTTTTTTTTCTGGAAATTAATATGTTTCTGGTGCTGTAATAATTGGTGATGAACACCTGAACCCCAATTCTATTCTTTTTTTTTTTTTTTTTTTTCTGGAAATTAATATGTTTCTGGTGCTGTAATAATTGGTGATGAACACCTGAACCCCAATTCTATTCTAATTGTTTGGAAACAGTAAGGAACGAGTATTAAGTAAAATGGTATCTGTCAATACATTTTTCTATAGCAGATGTGTTGCCGCATTCGCTGAACCTTGCATTCTAAGAACTCTAGTGAAATACGTTTTTGTTGCAGCTGGATTTTGGAGTTTCTGAGAAATTTCTGTTTCATAATGGTTTTGATTCATTAATGTAGATTAGAGTCGTGCTTCATTTTATAATAAGACTAGGATAAAACTAGAAATTCCTAGTGATGCAACCACACTGAGACAATTTTGCATCCGCATGACACGAAAATGTTGTAGCTTTTTGCAGCAGTTTGAATTCTGAATCACGGTAGCAGCTAATGAAGACATTTGGGGTTTTGCGTGTTTTAGCTAGCTAACCTTTTAAACCCACAAAATTGCTGAGAAACTTTCAATCATTCACCCTGTTGTTTTTACATTACATACGGGAAAAACATAATGAACCAAATGTAGAAGGGGTAATAATATATGAGGATGAATGGCTTGATAATAGCAATTGCGTTTGTGGGCTGTGAACTGAAATTGTGACCCACCATTAATAGTATCTGTCTTGTCTTCTTAACCACGCACGTATGTAAAAACAGGCTTTTGAAACAGGCTACTTACGCATACTCAAGATTTACCGAATTGGTAAGTTGGTATCCAAAAAGTTTTGAAATAACAAATAGGTACCTTCTATCATGTTCTGTTAGTGATTTTCGTTTGATAATAGTAAAAAGACTAAAATGCCCTTGAAAGTTTAATATTTTAGTTTTTTATAAATTTAAAAATTTCTAAAAAACCCCCTAGGTTTGCTAATTTGATTAAATACTCCAATATATAAAAATTTTATAAAATAACAAAAACACCCCCCCACTCGCAGTGCCAGATTCCGGCTACCACCGTCGGAATCTGGCCAGAAAAATTGCGTTACGACATAGACCCATCAGATCTGTGTCGTAACGCGTAGATCTGGCATTTTTCGACAAGATCCGTGGCTGATCTGGCCAGAAAAGGCCAGATCTACGGCCAAATCTAGTCGTCGAGGCCGGAATCTCGTCGGAAAATTGTGTTACGACACAGACCCACGTCGATCTGGCATTTTCCGGCCAGATCTAACCACCAAGGCCAAAAAATGCCAGATCGATACGTTACGACACAAATCCGACGGGTCTGTGTCATAACACAATTTTTTAGCCAGATTCTGGTGGTAATGGCCGGAATCTGACACTACGGGTGGCGGAAGTGTTTTTGTTATTTTATAAAAAGTTTATATATTGGGGTTTTTAGTCAAATTAGCAAACCTAGGGGGTTTTTTAGAAATTTTTAAATTTATAAAAAACTAAAATATTAAACTTTCAATGGCATTTTAGTCTTTTTACTATTATCAAATGAAAATCATTAACAGAACATGACAAAAGGTACCTATTTATCATTTCAAAATTTTTTAGATACCAACTTGTGGTTTCGATAAACCTTAGGTATGTGTAAATCATTCTACCTTTTAAACACGCAAAACTGCTGTTGCTTTTAGACTCGATAAACTTTGTAGAAAGAGGCTTTTAGACATTAGCTTTTGATACAGGAAAGTATGATCTGATATAAAGCATTCAAGGCCTTTTTGTAGGCTACAAACAGGTGAACTAAAACCATTAGATCTTAGAGCCAGTTGGCATTAATCTGAGGGTAGTTTACTAGGACACATGTAACTTGCATTTAATAGCCTGATGATAACATAACTAAAATATAAATCCCAGAAACTGGTTTGAATCTTAAAAACTATTTAGAACTACATATAAATCTCATGTTTGAACCATAATAAAATTAAGAGCGATGCTTCTTATGTTATTACACCCTAATTATTAATTGCAGTTTTATAAACTATTAAATAAAACATAAAAACGCTCATTATTTATAGGGTTGTTGATGGGTCATATTGGCACTAATAAAAACCCCGTAATAATGCCTGATTCCGAAGTACATCAGAAGATAAAAAGGCCATGTATCAACAATTAAATGAGGAATTTAATACAGTATTAAACAACTAATGAGGATTTTAATGAAAACCATGATGAGATCATGTTGAATATGTCATTCAAACACTTTAATAGGTTGTTTGAAACAGTCGGTTATTACGTATTCAGTATAAATTGATATCAGATGCGAAAATGATTTTAATTGTTAATTTAAAGAAAGTAAAATAGAAAATATGAATTGGAATAGGAATTTATTATTTAAAAACCCTTGAAGATTCCATATGTCACAACTGCTGTCTTAATTTGACTGTCTTGAAATAATATATCAATATTAATAAACTTATATTATAATCCCACTCTAATCTAATTAAACTTAATTTATATCACAACTTGTCTCAATTAGATTGTAACTCCACTTTATTCAATTCGCAATCTACATCCATAGGGCTAGTGGGTTACGCATTGACTCAAACTCACAATCGTCTGGCCCGTCAACTGCCCAATAAATCAAAATATGACTCTTGACCAACCGTTGATCTGGTTGACTTAATTGAATTCAAATTACATGATTTCACGTGATTCAATAAGTTTTAATTTATATTTAATTAAACAGATAAAACCCTCAATATTTATTTTTATATTTAATCCAATAAGAGATAGTTAATGATAAAAGAATTTTAAAAAAAAATATTGTGATATTTGAATTGATTTTGTGAATTGGACAAAAAATGAAATGATGAATAAAAAAGAAGACCCAGTCAACTAGATGACTAGTCTGTATTGTCTAAGCCTAAAGAACTAAATGAGCCAATCAATTTTTATTTAATTTCATTCATTAATCAATACATTCAGTATCCATCATTTTCAGTAAAATAATTATAACCATAGCTTTATTAATTTGTTTAGGCAAAGTCTATAGGCATGTTAAATTATATTTATTTTGAGTAATGTTACACCAACAACTCATTCATACAAACTTACCTGACGTGGCAGTTGACCTGACATTGTTATGGTAGCTTCGCCACACCCACGACATAAAATAATTTTGACTAAACAAAAAAAAAATGACTGTTTCTTGTAAAGGAATTGTCGTTTCTCACAGAAAGAATTATCGTTATTTTATTCATTCATTTCATAAGGAATGATTGTTCTTGAATAAATAATGTTGTTCCTCAAGGAACAACGAAGAAGAAGAAGAAGGGAATGACCGTTTCTCACGAAAAGAATAGTCATTCCTTCATCCATTCCTTTTATAAGGAATGATTATTTCTTAAGGAATTATGTTGTTTCTCAATGAACAACGAAAAAGAAGGAGAAGAAAAAAAAAAAAAATAACTATTCCTTATGAAAAAATGAATATTCTTTCATGAAAGATAATCGATTGACTATTCATTTAAAAAAAACGATTGTTTGTTTTTTGTAATGCTTTGAATGTCTTGGGTGTAAGATGAAAGTTGAGGTGATAATGTTAATCTATTGATATATTAGGATAATAAAGATTGACATAACAATACTAATCTATTGATAAATTAGAGTTATAAGAGAATGTTGTGCGTCATTGGCTAACATTACTCGTTTATTTTCAATGATATTTAAATTAATTCCTTAACGAAAGAAAAAGTAAATGAATTCCGCACGACTAATACAGTAATATTTTACGCGGCCTATGACTATCCGCGTTACGTAAGGTGGGCCCCTGTGGGGTCATGTAATAAATTATTTAATTATAATAATTATCAGAAAGCTGACGTTGGGTTTTGAGTGTCAAACGATGTGGTGGTATCAACAATTTCTTCGAACTTACACAGAAATTCTGGTATACTACACCGCAGCCACAGGAATCCCTATATATACCAGAGATAAAAGCCAACATTGGCACACTGCCTTATATCTTCAAAACAGATAAACCAAGTAACAACAAGAGTTACCTTTCTCTTAATCAACAAAAACAGAGAACCATGAAGGTACAGATATATGAACTTAGTAATAAGATTGTTCTGCTTTTTGTTTATTAAGATTATTGTTTGTGTTATTAATTTTTTTGTTTTGTTACTTATTTTCAGCAAAAGGTGGTGATCAAGGTTACTTCAATGAATGGACAGAAGTCACGCTCCAAGGTCCTGAAGATTGCAGTTGGGGGTTTTGGGGTTGAATCAGCGGCTTTGAAAGGGGATGACAAGACTCAGATAGAGATAACTGGAGACGGGATGGACCCTGTTGCTCTTACAAGTTTGTTAAGAAAGAAAGTCGGGCATGCAGAGCTTGTGAGCGTTGGCCCTGCTGGTGGTGGAGATAAGAAAGAAGAAAGCAAAGGAAAAGAAAATGAGCCTAAGATAGAGAGCCTTCAGGTCTGGTCTTATCCTAGCGGTGTGCCTCACTACGTGTTTCCCGTTGATCGACCCTATGACCCCTATTATAATTCTTGCTCCATCATGTGAAAGACAGAGAGAGACAGAGTATTAGAGAATGTTTTGTGTACAGTCGTTGATTGAAGGGAGGCAATTGTTACTCAGCTGAGATGGTGTTGTACAAGAGATGGAGACTTTGTTTTTCGTTAGCACCTTTGGCTTTGGGATTTTGTTGTTGTCTACCGTCTGCAGAGCTAGTTTGTTGTTACACTTTGCTATTATTTTCTTTTTCCTCACTGACGAGGTGAGGAGTTTGTAATAAGGTTTTTGATGAAATTCATTTCCTAATTTCCACATACCTGTTTGATTGTTTCCTACTTGGACTTGGGCAGAAGTAAAAAAGGCTTGAACATAATTCTACTGTTTATGTTATAAGATTACCTTCACATCTAAATTTCAAATATATAAGGTGAACCATTTACTACATAATCTTTTAAATGAATATTATAGACTGTTGATAGGGCATACAGTAATTAAAGCAAGAGCAAGGCAGATATTCTGTTTTTTTTTTTTCCAGATAACCTTCTCCCCTGTTTCTTTCTACATCCTCTGCATGCATGTAAGAATTAAGAAACAGTTTGTCATGTAAAGAAAAGATGTGCATAAACACTGTGGTAAAAATTAATTGCATATAAAGTAAAATAGTGTTGTAATTGTGAAAGTTAATACAATTCCATTATTTTAACTATATAGTTTCAAAACAAGAACTTTCTAGTCTATAAAGTGTAGGTGTTAAAGGTAAAATCTGACCTGAAATATCCACTACACAACTCAGATAAGTAGATACAAGTATCATAGAGAAGTGTATGTGGAGCTGCATGGCTCCTCTGATGCCAAGTAGGGAGAGTCGACACAACAAGTGTTGACAGGCTTCTTAGTTGGCATTCAGGGAGCCAGGCAGATCATCGATCATCAACTAATTCGAACAGTTATTGCAGAAAGCCGATTGCAGAGGTAGAGAACCTATGTTTCTCCTAGTTTATGTGATGGATCATATTTGTGGTTCTAGTTGTATATATCAACCCAGATTGTAACTTCACTTTCACTTTCAATTGATGAGTGAGCTGGCCTAACTTAAACAAGTCAAGAAGAGAGCAACGGGTAGGCACAGACAAGAAAAAAATCCAGAATACTGACATGGAACTATAAAGACACAGCCGCTAGTTAACACTATTATATTCAATCAAATATTAATCTATACAGTGGACGTTTGCATATACATAATTTTTAATACACGCCATTAGCTCTTAGATTAAAGAGTGATTAAGAATTAACAAATCTTGGTCTTTTTCGCTTACATGAATTAGGTAATTTTTTTTTTTTTTTTAAAAGGAACTTTTGTCAGTTTCTATTTGTGTAGAGTTGGTGTTTGTTACGGTATGGTATACATTAAAAAATGAAAGAAACCCATGGGGCGCTAATCTCGTGGTTAAAAGCATAGGATTAGCCTAGGTTTGAGTTTAAATAGTGTATAACATATTCAAAGTTTTCTCTTTTTCTTCTATTCATTACATGATTGATTCCAAAATCACAAGAATTAATTCTTTTTTATTTTTCCCTTATAGGACTTTAGGCTCCACATCCATATTTTGGATTTATTTTATTTTTAATTAATAAGGTATTATCCAAATCAGTTTACATATATTTTAACTAATTTTTAAAAATTTTAAAATTATCGATCAAATAAGAATATTAATAACTCTTTCTATTAGTATTTAAAAATACTTAAATTCAGGAGTTGATAAAACCTCATATCACACCACGTTGTAATTATTTTTGATTTATTTTGGTCGAAACAGAGACCAATATTTTCCCCCCTTGGGCGCAAGAAAATAACGTAAAAACATAATTTAATATGAACATGACCTGGTCAAGTTGACTTGACAAGTCAATGGCGCGTCTGGCAGAGTTAACTTTATATAAAGACATAATATATTGTTTTTATTTGAACTTTTCTAAGTTTAAAATTACGTTTATTTTGACTTGAGAGAGTAAGCTAAACGTTGATCGTAGTGTGTGTATTCTAATGTCAGTTTCCACCAGTAATTTCATTTTGGTCTAACCAAACTATTCCTTGTAAAATCCGTGTCATAATATGAACACTATAACCATCCATTATTAAATTGGACAAGTCTTTCTTTATATTTTAGGTGGGTAAATGAGGATCGCTTTTTCATGCATACTAAATCTGTTCTAGTAGGAATTAATTAGGATAATATTAATTTATTATTTTTGTGACTATGTGATGCAATGCATAGGAAGATAATGGCCCTCAGACCTTCCCATCTTTGAAAACTTTGGTTGGTGAAATAGAGTTAATTTCGAGGTTGTTTGATTGTTTCAAACAGAACTATGAACAAAATAGGAAGATAATGACCCTCAAACCTTCCCATCTTTAAAACTTTCGTTGTTGAAATAGAGTTAATTTTCAGGTGGTATATATATATATATATATATATATATATATATGGTCAAAAAACCATGGCTAACGTAAGCCCAAATCAGTAAAGACTAATCATAATTCAGGAAAGTTTTCTGCCGTCTAGATGCAACAATGTCCTGCAAGGGCGAAAGGGGTAAGGTCATCGTCAGTAAGGTAGGTGAACATCAGACTTATGAGTGGTTACGAATTGTTCACCTACTAAAGCCCTAAGAGATTTAAGGATATCTCTTATGCAGACAATCAATGGGAAGCGGGTTATGAATTGTACCACATCTGCTCGCATGCAGAATCATGATTACTAGCTTAAATCCTCCAACTATAAATAGAGTTCTCTCCTCTATTTTACGGGATTGGCTCATCCACCCTCAAAACATACACACACACACACACACACACACACTCTCTCTCTCTCTCTCTCTCTCTCCCTATATTTATTTTCTCTATTGTAATCCAGCTCGTCAAATGCGACCTGATTGTAATCACCCATTAATATAATCACAGTGGATGTTCGCCTTAGAGCATCTAAACCATTTTAAAAAGTGCTACCCATTCAATATCTCTTTTCATACTTCTATACCACGTGTGATATCTAAGTTCGTTTAACACTTTATATACATGAATAGTTGATGTCAAAATCAAGCATTTAATGTGTGTGTGTGTGTGTGTGTAAAGGACTAAGAATCCTGTTGACTAAGAATCCTGTTGACAATAATTAAAGCCTCAAACATATACAGATCACCGAAATTTTGGCACAAAATTAAAATTCTGCATTGAATTAAGATTGTGACTGCTCAACTAATCGTTTCATACAAAAGAGAAACATTATTAACCGAATTATTTGGAGGTAAGATTTCTCTTTGAGTTAAGATAATTATCCAATTTGAATTCATGAATATATTTGATCAAATTTAACATTCATCTAATTCAATATAACACTTAAATATATTTGTCAAATGATTATCCTAATTGAGCTAGTGGTGTTTTAGTAATGAAAATTCTGCATTAAAGATGAAACACAAAATCTTGCTTTATGTTTAATTTCAACTCTCTAATTCATATTATATTTTGTTCGTAACTTGAAGACTACGGCCGCCAAACAACTCCCACTAATCTTAGAAAATAGAAACCGCCCATCATCAATCATTCATTTCTCAACCATATAATAATTAGAGTCATATGATATGATATATATACATATATAACTTACGTCTCCTAACATCTTAATGTAATAAGTGACCACAAATTGCAATTAATACATGGTCTCAAAATTCTTCTATCCAAACAATATTCTAAAAAAAATCTTATTGTAATATCTCCCTTCAACTTTTAACCTTTCAAGATTTTTATTATTATTTTCTCTGTCATAAACCAACATTTGCACGAATTTATCATATATAAATAATATTGATGACATGATATGCTCATGTTCACACCCAACTTTTCCATATAATTCTTCATATTAATCTACCAGCGAAATTTCTTCCAAGAAAATTGACTAGGAAATAGATGGATTCAGTTTATATTTTCAATTAGTGGACCCGTAAATTCAAGAGTTGTCTTCTAAATTAAGTCTGAATCTACACAGCATTTCGCCAATTCTCCTTTGCCAACTCTCAACGACTAGACTCAAGAGGCATTTATAAATACCAAATCCAACAAGTCCTTACCACACGGCTTCATATCTTTCTAACTTTCTTCTTCCCTCAAACAGCGTTTTTCTTTGTATTCGATTCTCAGTTCTCTAACAAAACAAGACCATGAAGGTAAGGAATTGGCCTGACTTAAATTTATCAAGATAGAAAGTTTTAAGTTCATACAATTTACAAAACTGATCTTTTTTTTTTTTTGGTTGCAGCAAAAAGTGGTGATCAAAGTCTCCATGCATTGCCAAAAGTGCTACTCTAAAGCACTTAAGAATGTGGTTGGCGCTTCAGGTAAACACTTTTTTGCTTTTGATTAAAGTAATTTGGAACATCTTATATAATCAACAAATCGAGAAGAAATTCTTACTGCATTGGTTGTGCAACAATTAACACAAAGTTAACGTAACTCTGTTAACCATGGTCTGTTTCTGTTTTCGTTACAATTAAAAAATTCTCCTCGTGTACGTACGTATAGGTGTGGAATCGGCAGCGATAAAAGGGGAAGACAAGAGCCAGATAGAGATAATAGGAGATGGAATGGACGCGGTTGAGCTAGCAACTTCGTTGAAAAAGAAATTTAAATATGCAGAGCTGGTGAGTGTAGGTCCTGCAGGTGATGGTCCGAAGAAAGAAGAAGAAAAGGAAAACAAGGCCACGGTGGAGGTGAAGCCCGTGGATTATTGGAGTTACTATCAAGGTGGCATGCCTTATTACGATTACCGTGTGGTTTACGCTGATCCATATTACCCCTCAAATTGCTTCATCATGTGAAACATTTCCAAAGAGGGAGATATCTATTGCACGACTTAGAGAAACTAAAATTTATTTAGGGAAGTCTTGGTTGGTAGCCGTTCTTTAAATTCTGCAGTGCTATTTTCAATTCCCTCTTTGTTTAGGGGATAATTATGAGTTGCAATTTTCCAGTTCGGTGATTTATATATGAACGAATGAAATGGTTGTTTGTTTCCTAAAAGAAATTGTAACATGGTGATGATGATGATGATGATGATATGGGTATGAGATTGTAGTTTTGGCGATAATATGCAAACTCTAGTTTTACTCGAAGCCAATATAAATGCAATGCACGTTTTCAGTTCCTTCGATAGCGTGTACCAGGACATGGGCATGTGATACGCGTTTGAAAGTGATCAATGTCACCTCCAACATTTAATTTGGTAGTAGGTTAAATGTGGTTTACTTTTCCACCTTTTTTTTTTTTACTTAATTTTTGTTCCTTTTTCAAAATTTCCAGATAAAATAAATACTGAATATTAAGACTTAAGTCAAGTTGACTTGTTGAATCATGAGCATTCAGCACGTGAGTATTCCTATAATATCTTCCGACAATAAATGTTTATTGTAATTAAGTTTGTTAATTGCGATGACAAGAAAGTAGACTTATACAAACACTGTAGGTTGCTTGTCGTATTTAATTTTTAACTCTCAAATTGCCCATTAGATCATCTCTTCATCACTTTAACACCTAATTAACAACTGAAATAATTACTCTTATCAAACCATGTACGTATATTTCATTTTTATTCTTTAGTCAAAGATTCAAAGTCATATATGTATAGTATAAAAAATTACTATATCTAGGGGTAACATATAATATGAAATTCTAATTATTCCTCCTAATCGAAAAACTTGATTGGTCTCATATCTAAATTAGTGACGTAAATCATTTGGTTTGTGGTTAGATGACAAGACTTTAATTATCTGAATGGGTTACTCAGAAGTCTTGTGTTCGAGTCTTACAAAATAGTCATCTATCAAATTTATGACTTACCTAGCTTGTTAAGGTTTGTGGGGTATTCAATGAATTTCGAAGATTAGTTGAGGTGTGCGTAAGTTGATCCGAACACCTTGACTATATTAAAAAAAAATTAGTGACGTAGGTGGGGATAACGATTCGTACGTCACATGGGAAGAAGTCTTCATAACGTGTTGAAGAAAACTAGAAAAGTATAATTGGTCGCAAATGAATTGACTAGTTGTTAATCAATTGTTTAGTGGCATTACTATAATATTTAATAATAGGACACCAAGTAGCACTCAACCCACAATAAATAGCCTGTAATTAAATTACCCTCACCGCTTTGTCTCTACATCTTCCAAGTTTTATTTCTTGCTTTTCTCATAACAGCATCTCCATTTTGGTAACCAAAAGACGCCTATTAAGCCTTTTTTCTGTGCATCATCTTCAACAAAACAAGACCATGAAGGTAATATGTATGTGCATGCACTTGCGATTGTAGTTATGTATCCAAATAGCGAGTTAATTATTTCTTTATATGGTTTCAGCAAAAAGTCGTAATCAAAGTCTCAATGCATAGCCAAAAGTGCCGTTCGAAGGCGTTGAAGATTGCTGTTGGACTTTCGGGTAAACCAAGTTTTGCTTTTGGAATTCATATACATGCATAGAGAGTTCTAGGGATTTCTTCACATATATCTTTAAAGACACATGACAAGAATGTACAAAAACACAGTTTTAGTTGTTTCAACAATTAATATATACACTGAAATATGGGTTGATCNCTAAAATTTATTTAGGGAAGTCTTGGTTGGTAGCCGTTCTTTAAATTCTGCAGTGCTATTTTCAATTCCCTCTTTGTTTAGGGGTTAATTATGAGTTGCAATTTTCCAGTTCGGTGATTTATATATGAACGAATGAAATGGTTGTTTGTTTCCTAAAAGAAATTGTAACATGGTGATGATGATGATGATGATGATATGGGTATGAGATTGTAGTTTTGGCGATAATATGCAAACTCTAGTTTTACTCGAAGCCAATATAAATGCAATGCACGTTTTCAGTTCCTTCGATAGCGCGTACCAGGACATGGACACGTGATACGCGTTTGAAAGTGATCAATGTCACCTCCAACATTTAATTTGGTAGTAGGTTAAATGTGGTTTACTTTTCCACCTTTTTTTTTTTTACTTAATTTTTGTTCCTTTTTCAAAATTTCCAGATAAAATAAATACTGAATATTAAGACTTAAGTCAAGTTGACTTGTTGAATCATGAGCATTCAGCACGTGAGTATTCCTATAATATCTTCCGACAATAAATGTTTATTGTAATTAAGTTTGTTAATTGCGATGACAAGAAAGTAGACTTATACAAACACTGTAGGTTGCTTGTCGTATTTAATTTTTAACTCTCAAATTGCCCATTAGATCATCTCTTCATCACTTTAACACCTAATTAACAACTGAAATAATTACTCTTATCAAACCATGTACGTATATTTCATTTTTATTCTTTAGTCAAAGATTCAAAGTCATATATGTATAGTATAAAAAATTACTATATCTAGGGGTAACATATAATATGAAATTCTAATTATTCCTCCTAATCGAAAAACTTGATTGGTCTCATATCTAAATTAGTGACGTAAATCATTTGGTTTGTGGTTAGATGACAAGACTTTAATTATCTGAATGGGTTACTCAGAAGTCTTGTGTTCGAGTCTTACAAAATAGTCATCTATCAAATTTATGACTTACCTAGCTTGTTAAGGTTTGTGGGGTATTCAATGAATTTCGAAGATTAGTTGAGGTGTGCGTAAGTTGATCCGAACACCTTGACTATATTAAAAAAAAATTAGTGACGTAGGTGGGGATAACGATTCGTACGTCACATGGGAAGAAGTCTTCATAACGTGTTGAAGAAAACTAGAAAAGTATAATTGGTCGCAAATGAATTGACTAGTTGTTAATCAATTGTTTAGTGGCATTACTATAATATTTAATAATAGGACACCAAGTAGCACTCAACCCACAATAAATAGCCTGTAATTAAATTACCCTCACCGCTTTGTCTCTACATCTTCCAAGTTTTATTTCTTGCTTTTCTCATAACAGCATCTCCATTTTGGTAACCAAAAGACGCCTATTAAGCCTTTTTTCTGTGCATCATCTTCAACAAAACAAGACCATGAAGGTAATATGTATGTGCATGCACTTGCGATTGTAGTTATGTATCCAAATAGCGAGTTAATTATTTCTTTATATGGTTTCAGCAAAAAGTCGTAATCAAAGTCTCAATGCATAGCCAAAAGTGCCGTTCGAAGGCGTTGAAGATTGCTGTTGGACTTTCGGGTAAACCAAGTTTTGCTTTTGGAATTCATATACATGCATAGAGAGTTCTAGGGATTTCTTCACATATATCTTTAAAGACACATGACAAGAATGTACAAAAACACAGTTTTAGTTGTTTCAACAATTAATATATACACTGAAATATGGGTTGATCGAGTGATAAATGCTTGGGGCCAAGGAGTTCGTTTTCCTTGTAGTCTCAAGTTTAAATTATAAGAACGATTGTTAATATTGCTGGTTACGGATAGTAGGGTTTACTCTATTTCGAAAGCCTTATTTAATTAGGATCGGAGGATTAGTCGATGTGTGCGTAAACTGGTCAGACATCTCTAATAAAAAAATATATATATATACTGAAAAATGTAATTATTTTACTTCAAAATGCATCGTTATAGTAGATATGTTTGTCTCTTTCTATGAACTTAACATGTTATAGAACCCTTTGTTTAAAGCATTTCTATATGCCTTAGTAATGATTTACATGTGGGGCTTTTGAGGATGCGTTTGTCAAGTCTCAACAGAAGTAATTAAGAGGGAGTTTTGACCTTTATAAAGGTAATATTTTTTCTAGGAAAGGGGACAGGATTATTGGTCCTCCATCCTGTAAGTCCCATGGTCAAATTTCAATAAATAAGAGAATGGTAACTCACAAGTTAACATGATTAAGGCATGGTGATTATTGATTGGTGTGGACTCAGCTGCTCTAAAAGGAGAAGACAAGAGCCAAATAGAGATAATTGGAGATGGGATGGACACAGTCACACTTACAACTTTGCTGAGAAAGAAGGTGGGGTATGCAGAGATAGTGAGTGTGGAGGCTGCAGAGAAAAAAGACGACCAATGAAAGCAAAAAATGAAGCCCCTCCTATGTACTTATCAAGGTGGGGTGCCTTGCTACAGTTACCAAGTGGTCGCTGCTGACCCGTATTACAATACTTGCTCCATCTTGTGAGACAAGTAAATACACATACACAATGAGACACATTTGGAAATTGTATAATCCATATTCATGGTAGTTATCAGTGTTTGACATGGTGCCAGCTGAAAGTTAGCCTTTAAATTTATAATGTTGTTTATATACATTAGCTGTATTCAAATTCTGCAGTGATATATATATATATATACTTGTTTAGTGTAAATTTTCAGATTTTGGTATTAATTTAAACAATTTGACCAAGATTTCACGTGGGCTCCGTATTTCTTTTTTCCTTAAAAATTGTAAAATGGTGGGATTAGTTTCGACTATAATATATGAAAGGTCCAAATATACTTGGTCAATTGGTTTCTTATATTTAAAGTAGACACCTTCCCTTGCATCATTTTTAACATAAACAACAATACAAGTGCCTTTACTTTAGGCTTTCGCCATCCTTGCTTCTTATACGCCGATTCAAGGATAATGTTCTGTATATATTATTAGAAAAAAAATTATATTTTATTTCAAATTTTCTAAATCCTTATTAATTGCAACACTATGGTCACAAAACAAATCCACTGATCCTAGAATATGACTGAACAACTGGAATCAGATTAGAAAACCAAAATCAAAACCATGTAAGGGTTAGTGCAAATAAGTTGAAAAATCTACTAAAAATGCCACAAAACAATAGAATAATTAAATATATTCATATGAAACTTGAATAACTGTATATAATTGATCATGTGAGTTTGGATTCTTCTTTATTTGGGTTGATTTGCCTGTGTTGATTAAGTTGATTTGGGTAAATTTGCTTCATGTTTGGGATGCTGTTTTTGAGGGGTGGGTCGGGGCCTGTGGATTTAATGGTGGTCGTGGGTGCTGATTTGCAGGGTGGGACGCCTGTGGTGGTGGTTTAGTTAAGTGGGTGAGCATTGTTGCGGTGGATTGCTTGGTGGTCTGCACTTTTGCGGTTGTGGGATGCAAAGGGGTTTAGAGCTTTATTTTTCTTAATTTAATTTAAGTTTTAATTTAATTGTTTTAAAGGATTCAGCTGAAATACTAAATGGCAATCTTTAAAGAGGGTGGGCTTCAAGATTATATAGATATATGATTGTTTTTAATAAGGGTATAAAATGTAATTCATTGATAAAACCATAACAGAGTTAGCTGAAACAGTGGTAAGTGATACAAGTTTCAAAATTCAAGGATGTGTTGATCAAAAATGGAAAAGTCACCATCTAAGTGTAATTTTAGAAAGAGTGGAGTGGTATCTATCCAAATGAAAGTTCGTTTAATTACTATTATATCCAACAAACGAAAACTTCTGCCAACCACTCATCGAAACGAATCTCCTCTAGTTTCTCTATAACCAAACAAAATATCAATTATAAAATATATCTAATAAATATCAAAAGGTTTCTTGTTTCTGTTACGACGCCATCTACAAATTATTGGATAAGTCTTCTGTTTTAGTTCTTTGGGAAAGACAGTCAACTATACATACAAAATAATTATTGCCTCATAAGACATTTAGAAAAGAAGACAAATATTCAAGTTGCCCGTAATTAATTAAGCTGCTGCAAAGAACATATACAAGTAAATGAGCCTTCCCCTGCCTCTTTGTGCAGTGGTTTATACATTATTAGAAAATGAGAAACATTTGAGTTGTTGAATTAATGTATAAGATAACCAGAACCGTAACATGACCCTGTTGTGGAAAGGTGAAATATATCTTACCTCAAAGATAAGTAAATGATGGAATGTTAAGTAAATATTGGTGGACCTGCATGGCTCCTCTGATGCCAACTAGGGAGAGCCGACGCACTTTGTTGACAAACTTCTTAGTTGGCATCCAGGGAGCCAGGCAGATCATTCCCCAACTTTTACATCTTTCTCATTTACTTGATAAACTTATCCATATAACGCAAGTGTTAAAACATTTCATGCTAAGATAAATAAGATGTATTCACTTACACTAGATTTACGAGCGGCATAGAGTAAATATTTGCTGGAAGCTTGGCTGAAATAGTGGAGAAGCATCGTTCTGTATCTATCAATCAAACTAGTAATTTCACTTTCATCACCTTGTGAGTGATGAGAGAAGTGCTTAGTGGAGTGGGATTTAAAGAGAGAAAAGGCGGTCACAGACAGCAGAAAATCCAGGCAGTGAGATGGGACTGTAAAGAGACGGCCTATAAGAATATGATTACACTATTAATTCTCCCAATAATAATAATCCATCTTTATTAGCTTAATAGTGACAAAATTGGCCTAAGTTTTTGCAGGTTTACAACTTTGGCTTTTGGGGACCAATGACGGCTTTTGACCGGTAATTAATAGACGGAGGCAGCGCCAGTGCATGAGACAAAGTACAGCCAAATCGTGGGTGGTTTTAACGGATTTTCTTACGGCCGTTTGGAGGATTGTCAGGTTTATACTATATATATAGATTTACTGACTAACAGGGTATTGACAGCTGGAATTCGGGACCCATTATGTGCCGTACAATTGTCCACGTGCTCCCATCATCCCCCCCAAAAAAAAAAACAAAACCTCAGTGGGCTTTAGGGTTTCGCCAGGCCGATCAAAATTTGAGCGATCTAGGCTCATCATATAGTCAGTGGAAGAAAAAGGTGGATCAAGAGATTTCCATCGAAGCCCAAATCGGTTGCAAAAGTGGAGCTGCTCAATATAAGAGACTAATGGCAGAGAGAGAGAGAGAGAGAGAGCACCATGGTAACAGTGTAAAACTAGTCAACAAAATCCTATAATGGCCTCACATGTATTTTCAATTTGCTCAATTAGGCCACGGTAGATTCATTCATATATATATATATATATATATATATATATATGTATATATATATATAGGATATAAGGAATGCTCACCTACCTAGAAATAACATTATTCCCTTACAGTAACCATTACCTACATAGTTCATTAAAGTTTTTGATAACCTTTCCATTATATCAATGGTGTTGGTGATCATGTCTTATTCAAACTCCACTTTTTTTTCCATTTTCTATTTTCAACTAAAGACCTTGTTTGAATGTGTTTTCTTCTCATAATTATGTAATGTTGGAGGAGTTAAAATTATTAAATATTCATATAAAAAATAAAATAATTTTTTACATTAATCCATTATTATAGAAAAATGGGGAGGTATTTGAGTTTGGGGTGAGGGGTAGACCCCATCTTAGCCTAATTTATCTGCATAACCAGTTCACCCTAGGATTGGCCAATTTTGCAAAATATATATTATGAGCTGACCTATACCAGTTATCAGGCTAGCTACTACTGCAGTGCAGATTCTTGTTTGCTTAAACCCTATCTTGCAACCTGTAACTCTTTAAACTTGTCCTTGTGGGTGGGTCCATACTCCATTCTAAATCCTCAATATCTCCTATTTGTCTTAAATTGTCCTAATCAAACATGTACATACTCATACAGTATAATTAATTAAATATTCTAAAACTGAAATTTTCTGGATTTAAACGATCCAACATTTGCAAAGCATTTTTTATAATAAGAACCCGAAGTAGAGCTGGGGGACGGTGGTCATAGTCTCATATATTACATTTACATAAATAATGTCCTTGTAAGAATACGTCTAAAAAATAATTTAAGGCCTGCGTGAATGTTTATACAAAATATTATGGTTAATACTGAAATCCAATAGTGGAATATGTTGTTGTGAGAGTGTCTTTTTTTTTAATATGAGGAGGACAGTGCATACGCAGAGACAAGCTCACCGTCTCTGTTCCATTATTGTATAAAAGGAAGAGACCCTACAAAAACAGAGGTGAAGCAGAGGAGCACACATTACTACAATTGTAGCAATGAGGCTTTTAAATTTCTTCTTTACCTCCTATCATTTCTTCTTTTTGCTCTCGCAACAGAGTCCCACCATTGCTACCAAAAAGGTCTCCACTTTAATCTTCCTTTCTTCCATTATTATTTCAAATACAACACTGTTTTTGCCTTGTACTTCTTCTTCATCAATTTTTTTTTTTTAAAATCTAATATTATCTTCTTCTTTAATGTTTTTAGTCTTTTGTTGTGTACTTGGGTGAGCACTCTCATGGACCTGAATTATCGTCTGTTGATCTAAATCAAGTTACCAAGTCGCACCATGAGTTTCTTGGATCATTCTTGGGAAGGTAACAAATTTAGAAATTTTAAGTACATGTGAATCGAACTGGTTTATATATTCAATCTCAGACTATTTTTTAAACTTTCTAAACAGTGGTGATAATCCTCAAGATGCTATTTTTTACTCCTACACAAGACACATCAATGGTTTTGCTGCAAAACTGGACGATGCCGTAGCTGCTGAGATAGCAAGTGAGAAGCTACAGATTTTTCGCTTCTCTGTTTCATTATCTTTTTCTCCATTATTAACTGGGTTATATATTCAACTTTTATAATGCAGAGCATCCAAAAGTGGTGTCAGTTTTCTTAAACCAAGGAAGGAAGCTACATACAACTCATTCATGGGAGTTCTTAGGACTCGAGCACGGTGGCCGGATTCCTGCAAACTCAATCTGGAACAAGGCAAGATACGGTGAAGATACAATTATCGGAAATCTTGACACTGGTGAGTTTTTTACTCTTTTAATTTTTCTTAAGCTAATTTTAATAATTATTTTTTCTAATTAATCTAATTTACCTAATATATCTAGTCAACCTTATCCCTTGAATCAATCTACATGATAGCCTTTGGATCTATATAAATATATATTATATTAATTATTAAATTGAAATTTGAATCGTTGACTTTTATAATAATAAAGATAGTTTCAGCTTTCACCGTGACATAATTATGAAAATGATTTTAACGTAGAAGAGGGTTGAAACTTCAAACTCAACATCATAACTGCCACAAATTTGTAATGTTTCATCCTTGTTCAAGAGTATGGATTGACTGATTCATTCAAGTTCTTCACTCACTAACTTGTATAAACTGATGGAAGTTTCAGCTTTCCAAAGGATTCATCTTTTAATGCCATTGCCAATGTTTATTACTTGTAAAACATAACATGATGAAATTAATGGTGTATAGACTTGTGATCGATACGGGACCCAAATTGAAATTGTGGACAGTTATTGTCTTGCACCATTTATAGAGACTTCCGCACTTTCTTATATAAAGCCACCGTCCCTACCTCAGAGGCTAGACTACAAAGATAAGCATGGATGATGCAACCCATGAATGGAGTTTTTTAGCCCCACTATGTCATTTGACATTAGACTCCACAACAAATTGTGCCCTCTTCATCTTTCAACTCTTAATTTAAAATAAACAAATATTTCTTAATTTTGAGTTTAGGACTCTGAAAATCAAGTTAAATTCGTGCTAGAAATAGTGTCCGTCCTTCTCATTGTATTTCACTATCATGTTTGACGTTCTTTAGCCTAGTGCTTTTGTTCAATGGAATTGTGTTAGGTGTTTGGCCTGAATCGAAAAGCTTTATCGATGAAGGGTTGGGACCGATTCCATCTAAGTGGAAAGGAATTTGTGAAAATGAGAAAGATGCTACATTTCATTGTAAAAGGTTTGTCTTTTCCCTCCCTCCTTTTTGCTTATGCTCACGCTTTACCCTGGACTACTTTTCTAATGGCGATCTTCTTTTAAAACATTTCTCTTCTGTCTATAAATGGTCCATGGATAGAATTCTATCCGACCCTTTTCACCTTTATTACCCATATATCTTTAATTTTGCTGTCCTTCTGATCTTGGAAACTATTTTATAGAAAATTATTCAGGTAGCTCTCATCAACTTGCCTAATAACTGGTCCCCGACACTTACTTCTTTTGTAATCTATCTAAGCCTAATTGTTGCCCACAGTCCAAACTTGGTGGGTTTCTTCGGCATTGCCAACTTTTTGGAATCTATAGATTGCAGATCTTCTTTCATGGTCGGTAGGAGTGGCTCCAAAAAGCACATTCATAATTAAGAATTCTCATGAAGCCTTGGAGTAAAAGCACTATATCATCGCTTAATACCAATCAGGTTATTGAGTTAATAAAAATGAATTGAGTCAATGCTTTTATCATCTTCATATATAATCATCATATCAGTAATATAACACAAATAGTCTTTGATCTAGGACAAGGAAAAATACACTTAATTATCAGCAAGACTGGTAGTTTATTGTCTGATGATTCTATAAGACTAGAAGGGTTTAGTCTTCTGGTCGGTCGTGAGCCATGTGGTTGACTATATGTTCCTAATTTTATAAGTTCAATACAAATCTCACATTGTAAATTGATTTTATTTATGTCTGGCTCAGCATGGATATAGGATTAATATATACACATCACTGTATTCTATGCAAGTTGGACATCAACTCCCAGTTTGGAGTAAGAATCTGTTTATTTATACCATGAAAGGAGTGCCCCTGAATCCATTTAACTGTATTTTAGATTTAATTACTTAAAAAGTATGTGATTCTTTCTTAATTACTGTATGATAGTATGCAGAACAGAGCCAGCACATCACTGATTTGTTTTTGTTTCACTCTAATATTTTAACGAACCTTTCTGTGTGCATACTATTAATGTAGATCTAACTAGCTCCCATACTATTAATTGGGTAAGTGATTTAGTGTAGATTTGATCCTCTGTGATATAAATTAAATATCTTTATTTTCTTTCGTAAATAATGTTGGAGTAAAATACTGTGTTTTTGCTCTGTATAGGAAGCTAATTGGAGCAAGGTACTTCAATAAAGGCTATGCTTCTGTTGCTGGACCACTCAACTCCACTTACGATTCTCCACGCGACAATGATGGCCATGGATCACACACATTATCAACAGCTGGTGGTAACTTCGTGGACAAGGCAAGTGTTTTTGGCTTGGGAAAAGGAACTGCAAAAGGAGGATCACCGAAAGCTCGAGTGGCAGCTTACAAAGTATGCTGGCCACCCGTGGCAGGAGATGAATGTTATGATGCTGATATATTGGCAGCCTTCGATATCGCCATTCATGATGGTGTTGATGTGCTTTCTGTTTCACTTGGAGGGGATCCCTCCGCATTTTTCAATGATAGCATTGCAATTGGTTCTTTTCATGCTATTAAGCAAGGCATTGTCGTCGTTTGTTCAGCTGGCAATTCTGGTCCTGCTGATTCTACTGTGTCCAATATTGCCCCTTGGCTTATCACAGTTGGAGCTAGTACCATGGATAGGGACTTCCCTAGTTATGTTGTCCTCGGCAACAAAAAGCGCTTCGAGGTTAGTTTTTTCCTCGTGGTTTATATTAAAAAGTTGAGTTACTTCAAGTTGTGGGAGTGATCAGTACACACCATGAAGTAAATTTCTTAACGCGAAGAGTATAAGATGTGAGAATTCTTTGTACATTAAGAGCTTATCGATATAAATTTTATTTTGAAGGGACAAAGCATATCATCTACGGGCTTGCCGAAGAACGAGTTCTTCCCAATAATCAGTGCTGCAGATGCCAAAGCTGCTAATGCTTCAATACTAGACGCGTAAGAGTTGAAGAATTTTAGCTATTCATTTCCTGTTTTCACATGCTCACCAAATTTGAACCCATGTCATATCATAGTTATGTGCTTTAAATTCACTATCAATTATTGCTTGGCCTGTTAATTTTTGGCCTCCAATGCATGCAGTCTGGAATGCCAGGATGGGACACTTGATCCTAAAAAAGCAAAGGGAAAGATCTTGGTCTGCCTTCGTGGAGTAAATGCAAGAGTAGACAAGGGACAACAAGCACTTTTAGCCGGTGCTGTTGGGATTGTTCTTGCGAATAATGAGGATACTGCGAATGATATTATCGCTGATGCTCATGTCCTTCCTGCTACACATATCAACTTCAGTAATGGTGTGTCTGTATATCGTTACATCAATTCAACCAAGTAAGAAAACAAGCATACCTAGTACTAGTAGCATTTGCAATCGGTACTACATTTAACAAACTTGATAATTTTTTTCCCTAACAGGAATCCTGTTGCTTACATTACTCGTGCAACCACAAAACTTGGAACAAAGCCAGCTCCCTTCATGGCAGCTTTTTCATCAAATGGACCCAATAAAGTAACCCCAGAGATACTTAAGGTATAATTGGCAACTCAGTTTCCTTAAACATAGATCTGGAGCCATCTGAATGGGATAATAATTAGATTTGTACATATGTTCAGCCTGATATCACAGCCCCAGGAGTGAGTGTTATAGCTGCCTACACTCTAGCAGAAGGGCCAACAAATCAAGACTTTGACAAGCGCCGGGTTCTATATAACTCTATATCGGGCACTTCAATGTCATGTCCTCATGTTTCTGGTATCGTTGGCCTTCTTAAAACCCTCTATCCTCATTGGAGTCCTGCAGCAATTAAATCAGCCATCATGACCACAGGTATGGAAACTAGTCCTAGAATCATTTATAGTTTTGGTTTCATGATTCTTCGAAGTGCCAAAAATTGTACGTTGATTCTTTCTCTTGTCCCCTTATTTCACAGCAACGTCCGAGGATAACAATATGGAACCAATTGTGAATGCATCCTACTCTAAGGCAACACCATTTAACTATGGAGCAGGACATGTGCAACCAAACGGTGCCATGGACCCTGGATTGGTTTATGACTTAACTGTCAAAGATTACCTGGACTTTCTTTGTGCCTTGGGGTACAACAAAACACAAATTTCATCCTTTTCTGGAAAGACCTACAAATGCTCCAAGTCCATTAGTCTAACCAACTTGAACTACCCTTCTATCACAGTCCCTAATCTCTCAGGCTCGATCACAGTGAAACGAACCGTCAAAAATGTTGGGTCTCCGGGCACTTACAGAGTTCGTGTTAAGAAGCCGGCAGGAATTTCTGTGTCAGTTGAACCAAAGAGCTTGGAGTTCAGTAAGGTTGGCGAGGAGAAAAGTTTTAATGTTAGCCTGGAAATTAAAAAGGCCAAAGCAGCGAAGAATTATGTATTTGGAGAATTGATATGGTCAGATGATAAACAACATCAAGTGAGGAGTCCTATAGTGGTGAAGGCAGTCTATAAGAACTGACATATTTGTCTTTAATGGAAATTAGTCCAGCCTTATTAATTTCTACCTGATCATGGCTACAATAATATAGCCTTAATTATGTCTCATTATAATTCTTCAGCAGGGATGTTATTGCTGTTATTCTAATTAGCAATAATAATGAGCAAAATAAATAATTAGATGACAACAGACTTCTACCATTTTCCTTCTTTCTATCTCATTTTTGTTTCTTATGTATGCAATGGCCTAGAACTTCTATGCCACAGATATTTAACAATATTCAACAGACCCATCGAAATTAATTGACTAAATTTGCCCCACCCAAGGTTTGCCTTAGTATCATTTCCCACCCTAAAAGTTTCAAAATACCACTTTTCCACCCAAAGTTTATATTCCGTTAATACCCAAAGCCAATTATAGCGGCAAAAATTAACTCCGTCACCATCATTTGAACCTCTAGTCTCTTCTCTATAAAATCCCTCTCATTTTAGTACTTGATTTCTCGTCGATTTTCGACTACCGTAAAGTTAAGGTTTTATATTCCTAGTTGATTTTCTACTAATTTCAGTAATGAATATTCAATCAGTCACCACTATTCAATTCATTGGCCTTTACTCTACAAAAATCCTCTTACCCTAGCTCCTAATAATTCGTTGGACGCCGACTGACAAAATGAAGTGTATTTTGGCTTTTGAGTATTAACAAAATATAAATGTTGGGTGAAAAAGTAGCATTTTGAAACTTTTTCGATGGAGAAATGTCATTAAGGCAAACCTTGGGTGGGAAAAAGTCGTTTGCTCAAATTAATTACTCTATTAGGTACATTTAATAATAACAAGAGCATTGATTATATATTAAGAGTTTAAACTTTAAAGGGATTTTGATTATAATTTATTATTATGTACCAAAACCAAAGCTTGACAAAAACACCAAAGATTACACTGGTAACAACATCTATTTAAGGACTGACGTCAGAGATAGGCCGAGCTTCCTCCCAAAAAGAAAAGAAAATTGTAAAAGCCCATATAATATCCAAAGCATGATGGAGCATTATTGGTGCTTCTTTTTAACCTCAAATAAACGTTCCACATTTAGAACAAGCCCTCTTTGAAATTCCACGTACGGATATGCCGTGGGTTGGTCTTCCTCTTCAGTTTTCCATCTGCAAAATTAATCAAATTAAGCTCCACGTTCACTTTAAACCAGATAAAGAATAGTATCGATTTTGTCAACATCAACTACCTGAAATTCTGTACTAGGTGGTGAAGGAAGAAAGCAACCTCAACCTTGGCAAGTTCAGATCCTGGGCAGCATCTAGACCCTCCACCAAAGGGCGTAAATTTCTTGCATGTTTGATCTTGACTCTGGATTATACACAACACATATAAGAATATCATCTTGGATGGAAATGGTGTAGATTTTGAGGTTGATGAGTGAAGGTTGATTACCTCCCATCTCCAAGGATGAAACTGAAGAGCATTTGCATGTAGAGATGGGTCTAAGTGAACTGCTGTGAAAACAGGTAGGACCTTCCAACCAGATGGAATTAAGTAATCTGAAAGAGAATATAAAAAGGAACACATCTTTTTCTCAATAACATAATCAAAAGATTCAAAAAGTTCAATGCATGCATGATTATGTGTAAAGTATTAAAAATTTATTATTTCTAGAATTGATTAATAAGCACCTCTGAATTTGACATCTTTGAGAGCCTTTCGGTGTACAAACTTTACTATGTTCCCATATCTAAGCGCTTCATTGATGACCTACAAATTAAACACAAAGAGAAATTAAAAGCAAGTTCACATCATTTGCACACATGCTAGAAACTAAAAGTTACACTATATCAAAAAAAAAGTTGAATCTAAAAGGGAAATAAGTCTCTTACATTTTGAGTAAAATCCATTCTCTTGTAATCTTCCCAGTTCAAATACTCATTTTTTTGCTTCATGCTTCTTATGTTTTGATGCTCAAGCTATACACATATAAAAGAAAACAAATTAGAAATCATATATATATATATATATATATTCTGTAAGTTAATGCAAAGAAAAATGAAATTGCATGTAGAAGTAGTTATATTAGTTACCTTTAATTGTTGTAATGCAGTGGGTGAGTGAGAAAGAAAATGCACAACCATGGCCATCAAGAGAGAAGTAGTTTCATAGCCACCCAATAGAGAATCCAAAACGAAACTAACTTTTTCTTCTTCAGATAAGGTATCAACACACAAAAGTAATTCAAGGAAATCGTTTCTTTTTCTTGAATTCTCAGCAATATTTCTTCTTCTTTTCTCTATTATTGCTTTGACAGTTGAAGATATTCGGCTTCTAGCCTGTAAAGATGGTCAAAAAGAAAGTTGATCACATGCTTTCTTTTAGCAACACAAAAAAAGAAAAGAAAAGGAACTATATCAAAAATAATCAAACTTTAGTATTATGTATTAAATAATGTTATCTGCGACTTCCTTTTGGGCATAGTAATTAATTAAATAGAACAAAAATACATAGTTCGAGCACCTTAACAGCTCTTGCATATGGAGTTCCAGGAATGGAAAGTGGTAGAGAAATAAGTCCTCTCATAAAAGTTAGGAAATCTTCTAGAATTTTTGTAGTCTCTGGCTCCTCTGGTGTTAAACCTAGCACCTGCTTTACTATTACATTGAATGTGAACTGTGGAACAAAAAATTGACAAAGATGTATATTAATATATTAAGTTGGTCACATAATGAACATTGTTCAGAACTTCAAACTTATGTATACCTTCCTGGCCTCCTCACAGAATTTAATCTGTGTTTTGTCTTTCCATGAGTCCAATATCTGAATGGCAATTCTCTCAATGTCATTGAGAAACTCAGGCTTCGATTTTGTAACTGTGACCAGAGATAGAGCCACATTTCTGAGCCTCTTGTGGGTGTCACCAACAGCCACAAGCATTGAGACCTTGCCCAGAATTCCATGAATGGGCTTGGGATAACTGCACTGAAACAACTTGCCTTCATTTTGAAGTATGAAGTAGTTCAGCTCCGGGTCACATGACACCACAGTTGGAGAGAAGAACAAATGGGACTTGAATACTTTCCCAAACCTGAAAATTTACATGAAACTCATGATGATTATCCCCAAGCTATATAACAAATATTATTAACATGACATATTATCCATGTATATATAACATTTCAAGTACTACATAAACAACAAACAACATATATAAAACATGAAAAATATGCTTATTTATTTATGTTATTACTTACCTAGAACAATGGTCTTGAAGATATACCCCGACAGAATTAGAAGGGTGAGGCTTCAAGAAAGAAAGAGTTTCACCCAGTAATGGCCACCCAAAAGTCCCTTTAAAGGCAAGGCCAAGTTTCGATAAGATAGGCAAGAAATGGTTGAAGATGAGACCCAAAAAAAGAGTAACTATGCCAACCAAAACCACAAGCCAAAAACCTATAGTTCCAGCCATGAAGAAAAGGGTTAAGTTAAAATGGAAAGTAAGCAATTGAGATGAGTTGAGAGTGTTTTGGGAAGAAAGTGATGGCTGGAATTGGTATATATAGAGAAAGGTGAGAAATGGGTTACATTGCATGTTTATTAACACTAGAAAGATAAAGCAAGCAGGCTTTTCCACAGATAATTACAGTCACTGAATTTTACTTTATCAGAATGGTAAGACTTAGGAAATGAAATCCAACCTAGCTACTCCACCATCTAGTCTCAATAGGGCTGCAGAAAAAGTTTCAGATTATTTATTATTGTAACAAATTATTATTAATAATCATTATATAATAACAACTAATAATGTTTAAAAAAATATTTAAAGAAAAATGAATATTAGTAATCATATGTATGATCCATTATATACAGTATAATATCATCATATACATAACTTTGGTTATAAGGATAATTGCCTCTTAGTTTAAGTAAATAATCAGGAGCTCATGTGTGATGATGAGGTTGAATTTAAGACAGGGTGCTCCTGGCCGTTTGATGATCAATCAATTGTTGTGATCATGGTTCATTATTAAAAATTAAAAAAGCCTATTATTAAGCTAATTTTATATACTAGTTATACGTGCAAACTTAGCTTTATTGGGTTCTTTAATTAGCTTTTCGCTGCCAAGTACATGGAAGTAGATTGACCGACCGACCCATGCACTCACATGGTCACGCCGTATACAGATCATGCACCTTTTTATTTATTTTTTAATCTTGTTTTTTTCCCTCTTAAACGGGGATTATTATGACTAGTTTAATTAATGACATGCATGATTTGATATTTACACCTAACAATTATTTAACGTGAACAAGTTCATCAATAGTCCACATGACAGAGGATTTTCTTTTCTTTAATTTTGAAATTAAACAGCTAAAATTTGCTTGTGAGATTTGTGTATGATTGTATACAGTACTTGACTGACTCATCCGATTGGAGATGTGTTCTATTTCCATGTTTCTCTCCTTTGACTTGCAAAATTATAACAGTAATTAAAGTCAATAGAATAAAATAACAGCTTCTATTAAACCAGAGTAGAATTCGGATATATCTCTCTTCTATCGACTTTTTCCTTAAGGTAGCCGATAAAAGAAATTATGGTCAATAAGGCGCATTCGTAAGTGACAAAAGTTTTGGCTATTGAAAACCACCATTTTTGGTTACAGAGTCTTGGAACAAAAAATGTTAAGGTTTAGATATTGATATTATATGAAAGCTTAGGTGACTTTTGGTGTAATTGGGTGATCAAAACAAAAGACATTTCTCTTATTGAGACAAGTTATGATTGAGCAGGGTAATGATTATAGCAAATGATAAGTCTCTTTAAAAAGAAGAAAACTAATGAACCAAGATTCATCCGTGGCCTTGTACCACAAGCGCATGCAATGCATAGAAGCGCGTTAAAAAAAAGAACCAATAATAACAAAGAAGCTGCTTTCTTTGACTGGATCTTGATTGCTTGCCATGAAATATACCCATCCTTTTCTATCTTCATCATATTGAAAAAGATGACAGTAAGCGAGATTTACTCCATTATATATATACCCTTTCAAGTTGCTCCAAACTTTGATCGACTAAAATTACAAAAGTTTTATATTAAAGTAGTAATACAAATTTTTATATTTTTCGTTAACGTTGATGGCTGGCCTTTTATAAAAACAAAATTTTATAGTATGAATTCTTGAAACTAAATGGTTTATGGGCAGTTGAGTGACTTGACATGAAGTTTTGTAAGGTCAAAGGATGATTCATTTTCCAGAGATCGAGTCAAAAGCACATTTTGCAATATATTCTTCTTGGGCTCCTCAATATTATTGTTTCCTAGGGACCATTTTCATTCTTTTTAGTTTTTTTTTTTTTTTTTTTTTATCGTGGCTATCAAACAAATTAAAACCAAATAATCCCGAAATAATGAATCTTCTTATCAAGATCTTGGGCTCTTCAGTGATTCACTCATGATGTTATAGTCATACGACAACATGTCTTACAAAAATTAAGATTGATTTGAGTTGTTTATAAATGGACGAACTCTCTGATATTACTACTACATAATACATATTGATATTTTGATAAATAAAAAATAATAGTTTCTCGATTTTTCTCTCTCTTCCTTTCTGAATCACATTATCCGAGATAGCACGAGGAGGTGTCAGTTGGACCAAATTCGTGTTCCTTCTTTAATATGTTTGACTCCCTCTACTCTCCGCCTCCCTTCGCTCTTGACCAATTCAATGCCGAAACTTTTTCATGTCTTCAATCTTGTGGAGTTGTGGTTGTGGTGAACTATGTAGAATTTAGGTAGGTAGGTGCCAGTGCCAGTGCCAGTGCCACCGCCAGCTATATACGTGTTGATAAAACAAGTGTGGCCAAGGTCAACTGCATTCAGGTTTAGAGACGTACAAAATAAGTACAAAATGGCTTTCAATTGTCACAAAATTAATCGATCTGCTGCATTACACCACACATCTCTATGACACTTATACATCAATCACCTCAACCTCGAGTCCTGAGAATTTCACAACTATTCATTTTTTATTTATTGTCCACTCAAATTTGCATAAAATAAATATATTTAATTAAATGCAATACTGATTATTAGGACCAGCCCTAGGGGTTAGGTTGAGCCATGCCTATTCACCCACGACGTAATTGCCCCCAGAGAAATTAATAACTTGGTGCTCTCTTCTAGGAGTGGACAATATATTTTTGCTACAAATTATTTTAGTTTAAGAAATAATTCGTAAATGTTTTTAAATGGGAATGTAAATAAGTGAGTAGTGCACGTGCAAGTGGTGGGGTCCTCAGCGACCACCGAATCATAATGAATGGAATGGGTAGTGGGGACAAATGATGAATTATAATTAATCAAGGAGTCATATCATCCACTCGTGCGTCACAAATTCAATTCCATTAAGGCAATCACCATCTTCTTCTTTTATTTCTGTCTTCAATTAATGGCTATGATTATGTTTAATTATTTGTTTTGCATGTGGGATCCATGGAAATCTCTAATTTCTCCTTGCTCGATATACTCTAAACTCCACTTTACATAATTACATTAATGATCTTTCTACAACTTCTTTTCTGCTTATAACTCTTGCATGCTCGACCATACTCTTAACACTAAATAAATAAATATCAATGAGTCCTAAATTTACTGTTGTCATTGACCAACGTTTCTTTAGTGGGCCATAAAGCTGCCACCAAAAATTATTTAAATGTTTAAGTGGTCCAAGAAGTCAGTGGCTCAACTCAAATGGAAAGGCCATTCTATGGGCCCTTAATTTCGTGTGATGGTGTGTTTGTGCCCCCAGTTGTCTTCACTAATCATTATTCCGAGTTTTTGGGCTCCGAGCCCACTTCATAGCTTGCTTTTACAGGACCTTAGCCCATGGGCCTCTTGGCCCATTTACTGCTCATCCAGTCCTCCCTTGTAGATCACTTTCTGTTTGAGATTTGAAATATAATGATAAGAGCCATTCACAATCACATTTTATTAAAAAACTATAAAGTTAAATAAGAGCTGTTGATGCACTCCAACGTGACTATGTCCTTTAGCATAAAATCCGAGTTCTATTAAATTCTTTAATTAAGAGAAACTATTAGTCAAACAATTTCTTATCTTTCAACCCAGCCATCCCTAAAGTTGATTCATTCATTAATACATTCTTGCAAGCTACCTCTTCTAAAATATTCATGTATTATAGACGATATAATAAGGAACAAAGTAATCCAAAAGTATATCCCTACATGTGAAGCAAAACTCACATGATCAAAGCTGCCATTTACTCTTCTCATCTACGTTGCTTTATTTCTTTTCCCTTTTAAATATTTTTTATTTCCCATTTTGTTGCAAGTAAATGTAAATGAAATCTTTTTAATTTTTGAAACAATCTGTAGAAAGATACGAAATGGACGATGCTAATTTACTTCCAAAAAAAACTCTTTTTTTATTCAAGAATGATTATTGAAATAGTTAGTAAAAAGAAAAAAAAAAAATGGACGGTGGTAATTTGTTTGAATTTTTTTCAAAAGACAAACAACTCCACGTGAGTGTTGTATCATCCCTCCAATGGGGAAATAACATCCACCAATTATTTCTCAACACTTCCCAGATTTTTTCCTTTCAATGTTCCTAAAATACCCCCACTTTCAACCCAATAACCGTATTCTCTCTCCGACCCGTAAGGTTCGTTCCGTAAATTCATCCGAAAATAATTAGCACTTCGACTCCCAAAAACCCATCAAATCGTACTCTCCACATAAAGTCACGAGTTAGAAACAACTCTCCACTACTCATCTAAATACTCACTCATTCACTCGCACACTCGCTTTCCAAAAATATGGCAAGTATGGCTTCGATCGGAGCACTAAGAGTACCGTCCTCTTCATCATCCTCCTCCACACCGTCTAGTTCGTCGAATCTCACTCGTAGGATCATTCCTTCGCAACGACTCGCGTTCTCGTCTTCTCATCTTGCAGGTGAGAAGCTCTGCTCCCAAGCGGTTGTCGGTGATCGGCGGAGCGCAGCGAATGACAGACGTCCGATTGTTGTGTCTCCCAAAGCCGTGTCGGATTCAAGAAACTCTCAGACCTGTCTTGATCCTGAAGCCAGTCGAGTAAGTTTTGTTGTAATTTAGAATTTAAACGTTATAATTCTGATTAAACAAATGGAGCAGAGTTCTGATACTACAGTTCGACGCCGTATGTCAATTTCATTTTTGTTGTTGTTGTTGTTTGGATTTTTGTGATTAACTAACGAGAAATCATAGAAACTGTGAATTGAAAATGTGATGATATATTATTGAATCATGGATCATGTTTTATTGTATCTTTACTCGACGTTACATTTCATTAATCAGTAAAATGATGTTAAGAGTTATTAAAATCGTTAATACTATTTATTTATACGACGTCGTGTTGCATTAAAAAATATTATGGTAATATTTGTCAATTATGTTTCTTAAATGTTGGTGTAGAATTTGTATACTACACGCTAACATCAAGTTATGTGTTTCTATAGTAATGTCATGAGTTATAAAGATCGTTGATGCAAGTAATGTGATTGTTCTTTTGGGTAATTGTTGGCAGAGTGTTTTGGGAATTATACTTGGAGGTGGAGCAGGAACGAGGCTGTACCCGCTCACTAAGAAGAGGGCGAAACCTGCTGTTCCGTTGGGAGCAAATTACAGACTGATTGATATTCCTGTGAGCAATTGTTTGAATAGTAACATTTCCAAGATCTATGTGCTCACGCAGTTCAATTCAGCGTCCCTCAATCGTCACCTCTCACGGGCGTATGCTAGCAACATGGGTGGTTACAAGAATGAAGGTTTTGTTGAAGTTCTTGCTGCTCAGCAGAGCCCCGAGAATCCCAACTGGTTCCAGGTGATATTGCATTGCAATGCTTGTAAATTTTTTTTTTTTTTTTGTTATACTACTACTTGTGAGCTATTATTTACTATTGATAAATAATCAATTGGATGTTACTGGTTTGGTTTCCTATTTTGGGTTATAGAAAGAATGCCTTGATTGGTATCCATTTACTTAGCGGTGATTCTCATGGAAGTTAGATTTGAAATTTACAGGGCACAGCAGATGCAGTGAGGCAGTATTTGTGGCTGTTCGAGGAGCACAATGTTCTGGAATTTCTCATTCTTGCTGGGGATCATTTGTACCGAATGGATTATGAGAGATTTATTCAAGCACACAGAGAAACCGATGCAGATATCACAGTTGCTGCCCTGCCGATGGATGAACAACGGGCTACTGCATTTGGTCTGATGAAGATTGATGAAGAAGGACGCATAATTGAATTTGCCGAGAAGCCAAAAGGAGAGCAACTTAGAGCTATGAAGGTAAATTCGATTTATTTTTATTATTTTTGTGATTTATTTATTCTTCCATTTTAAATCATTAATTTCATATACTGTCTCAATGATCTATTTCAGGTTGATACTACTATATTAGGTCTTGACGATGAAAGAGCCAAAGAGATGCCTTTCATTGCTAGCATGGGCATATATGTCATCAGTAAAGACGTGATGTTAAATCTGCTTCGGGATAAGTTTCCAGGAGCTAATGATTTCGGAAGTGAAGTTATCCCTGGTGCAACTTCCATTGGGATGAGAGTACGCATTTCTTTCTTCTGTTTCTTTCCGGAACTCTTATGCATTGCAGATATTATTTATTGCATTGGAAAATTTTAAATTACGATGAAGTTTGCTGTATTTGTACATCTAATTTCTTTTTAATCTCTGTAGGTGCAAGCTTACTTGTATGATGGCTATTGGGAAGACATTGGTACCATTGAGGCTTTCTATAATGCGAATTTGGGGATCACCAAAAAGCCAATACCAGATTTCAGGTTGTTACAATTCAGTTTTTTAATTTGTTGTCTTGCGACTAGGTTGATAGTAATTGTGTCTGATATTTTCTCTTTTGGCAAACCTTACATGCTTTGACAAATGTTCGGATATCTTTCTTCATGCCCTCCCAATACGCTACGTTTGCCAGACGTTTGTAAGTGCGAAAAAAACCTGAATGTCCCCCAATGGGAGATGAGTGAAACTCTTGTAATAAAGTCTGAATATGATCACCAGTGCGTGGCACGACCAACCTGTCATGGTACATCAATTGGTTCCCCACCAGTTTGAAAGGCAATTGGCTAGTTGGGTTAACAATCAGCTCTTGAATTATTTTCCTCAACTTGGCATCCTGGTGGACCGCGTTTTCCAGATCCTCTATTCCTATAAACAACCATGATCCACCATTTTTGGTTACAGGGTCTTGGAACAAAAAATGTTAAGGTTTAGATATTGATGAGGGACTAATTGTCAGGCTGTATGCGTGAGTGTGTGGGTGGTATTAAGTTTATGAGAGAGTGACAAGTGGCAAGTGATGATTGATGGGGAGCTGAATTCGGTTATAGTAAGAGAGTACGACGAATAAAAGGGAATGTGAGGGATCTGTCTAGGATCATTCGAAAGTAGTAAAAAGGGAAAAGGGTTGGGGAGGTGTTGGCCCTAGAAGTCCAACGGGTTTCTTTGTTCTTAGCAAATTTATCTTAAATGGTTTGGTTTATGTTTATCTTCTGTTATGCTGAATTGTAGTTGTAGATGAACTGTTATTGGAGTAGTGTTGTCACAGAGTTGCTATTCTATATATAAATTGAGGTTATTCAGTATAACTTGTGTTCTTCAATTGTTTTGACTTGATTACACTGCTCTGGTGTGACTGGAATTTCTGGGTTGTTGACTATTGGAGTTTCAGAGTGGTTTGGGTGGTTGTTTGAGTGATCTTTTGCAGGTGAAGTTTGGGGTTTCTAACAGTGACTAAATAGTTTGGACCCTCTTTTTTTTTTTTTTTTTTTGCAGCTTTTATGATCGTTCAGCTCCAATCTACACCCAACCTCGATATTTGCCTCCATCTAAGATGCTTGATGCTGATGTCACAGATAGTGTCATTGGTGAAGGTTGTGTGATTAAGGTAGGTTCTTGAGGGCTGGATATTAAGATGTTGTGCTGGCTATTACGTGTTATGATCTCTTCATTGTACCACCAGTCACCTATTAATCTTTTCAATGTCAAACAGAATTTACTCTCTATTCCAGTCGTCGCAGTTATGATGTATGTAATTCATAGAGTTCAATCCTCTTATCCTTTTTCACCCCTCTGTAGAATTGCAAAATTCACCATTCTGTGGTTGGGCTTCGATCTTGCATATCAGAAGGTGCAATCATAGAAGACACATTGCTCATGGGAGCTGATTATTATGAGGTAAAATGCCCTAAACATTAATCACTTATCTTATCAAAAACATTAATGACTTATTATCAATTGTTTATTCGATCAAGATGTGTAGTTTGTGTTCTGAAATACTATGCATTGCATGTTTGTAAAAGTTTGGAGGTTGACTTGTCTTGAGTGACAATTTTAACTCTTGTTTCATTATATGATTGTATTCTCTCTTGTTTCAGACGGATGCAGACAGGAGGTTTCTGGCTGCAAAGGGTAGTGTACCAATTGGTATTGGCAAGGATTCCCACATCAAGAGGGCAATAATTGACAAAAATGCTCGAATTGGGAACAACGTGAAGGTTATAATCCTTTCATAATCTTTTCTCGTGGGTTTTATCTTTTGAATTTGTGCTGATTAGTTAATGTGTTATTTCAACTTCTATCTTCCTCCGCTTGGAAAAATAGGGAAGTTATATTATATAGCCCTATGTAATTTGCTAAATCACTAAAATACCACATGCTTCAATTTTTTTCTTATTTTTCCTGCTACAGTTTTGTAAGTTACTAGTTATTTTTCTAATGAAGTTGTTGATGGTCCATTTCATTTTGGTCACCAAGAAAACTATCTGATAAGAGCTTTAACTTACTGGAACTCAATAGTTTTTTTTTTTCGTTTTCTTTTTTTTAAATGTATATTAATTTCAAGGATACATACAGCCAATGTCACTAGATTGTCGTATAATTGTGTTGCTCCATAAACTCCATTTAATTTATATGTATAGTCCTTGATGTCTTACTCTTAAATACATGCTTGCGTCCTGAAAGATTGTTTCCGACATGTAATTTTATTTTATTTTATTATTATTATTATTTTTATCTCAGATCATAAACGGCGACAGTGTGCAAGAAGCAGCAAGAGAAACTGATGGGTACTTCATTAAAAGCGGGATAGTCACCATAATCAAGGATGCCTTGATTCCCAGTGGAACCATAATCTAGAGTTTTCATGTTTTCAGTTTCACCTGCCTTTCAACTTGTTACTCTTTGAGTATGTCGTAATTGCAATTATGCTCCTGCTTAGGTTACCTTTTTGATATTGGTGTATGTATATCTCCGGGCATTATAATGTAATTAAAAGAGAGAGGAAGAGAGGACCTGGAAAGTTATGCTGTAAAGGTCTAGTTATGCAGAAATAAAAGCTTTTGATCTCTGCTAGCATGTTTTTCACTTTTCTTTTGGGTCTTATTCTCCCTCTCTCTCTCTCTCTCTCTCTCTCTCTCTCTCTCTCTCTCTCTCACACACACACACACACACACACATATATATATATATATACTGATTAAAAAAACTGGATAGAAACTGACCTAGAATAAAGGACTAGGCTCCCTTTCATGCCGTGATTAAATAACGGGAGTAGATAATTATATGGTAATAACAACATTTATTATATCATTAATGCATTATCAAAACAAAAGCATTTAGAAGTTAGAACACTGCAATACACGCCAGTAGTTATGAGTTTTGACTTTTGATCCCGGACAGAAGGCGATGAAATTAAGCATAGAGGACGCAACAAGCAAAACGGTAAGAGCAGGTGTACTAAAAAGCTGGCATGTTGAATTAGTAAATGTACTACAGTTGTCTGTAATTTATATGCATTGGAATTTATAAATTAATTTCATTTCAAGTCAATGTTTTTGGAATATTTTAAGTGGTTGACTCACAAAGTCGGATTCTTGTTACAAGAGGCTGAGTTTTGAATGTTAAACTAGTTTTAAGTTAGTCAGATATACTCATCTTACCAAGGAACTAGTTTTAAGTTAGTCAGATATACTCATCTTACCAAGGACTTAAGGTTTGACTTGATAAGGGCATCTCCAACCCACCCCATTTTGGTGCGAAAGACACCAAATGGCGTGGGTTGTTGCTCCAACCCACGCCAATGCGCTACAGGGCTGCGCCAAATGGAGTGGCACTGTAGCATAAATAAATTGTTTTTTTTTTTAAATTTTGTTAAGTTAATTTGAGCATTAAATTTTACACCAAAAATCACATCAAATTTGATTATTTGTATTTAATTTAATTTGATTATTATTTATAATAATAAATTCATAATAATGATATAATTAAAAAAATGATGAAAAATTAAAAATATAACTTTATTCAATGCAAATGTTAAACCACAATAACTCAAAATAAAAATTAACACTAATTTAAAAACACTAAAATTAAAAGATGGAAGCGTCAACTCCCGAAGTTAAAATTGTCGTAGATGAGAATGTCCGATTTCGAAATTTTCTTACTCGACATAAACAAATCAAGGATATAGAGGCTTACTATAGATTTGTAATCCATGGCCGGAAAAGGCCTTATTAGTGCACGACTGAGTAGATCCCGCCGATCGTGCACCATTACATCGATTGATGCTGACGGCCGGTGGTGGTGAGTCATGGTCGATGATGGTCTTGGGTGGTTGGGGGTATTTTGTTAACTTTTGAATTTTTTTGTGGCTGAGGTGTTTTAGTTAATTTTTTAAATGTTGGGGGGTTCGATAATTGTTATTTGAGAGATATTTGAGGGCAATTGTATCCAAAATGGTTTTTAACTAAAGGCAAAATGGGTAGAAAAATTATAGCACCCTAATAATGCTTTAATAACACATATAACAAGGTAATCTTCGCATTACCAATAGTAAACAATATTTGCAATAAAAGATTATCGATATTTTATTACTTGCAAATCAAACATAGGAATCTTGCAAAATAAACGAAGATTACCCCTATTATCTTGTTTACCCGCGATCCAAATGGCCATAAATCATATATCCTCTTACCAAAGTGTAAAGAAAGATAAATACATGCAGTTGTTTCGTTGAATAAACAGATTTTATTGATAATAAAACAACATAAAATTGACTGATTTTGGTCAGGGTCTTACAACCCCTTAAATAACCAACAAATCCTAATTAAACAGCACCACAAAAAAGTTATTTAACGTTAGAACAACACAATTTAAAACCTTGAAATTTCACAAAAACACAGTGGATTCTTTGACATTTCGTGACCTTTGATCCCTCCGTCAAAACCAATCCAACTGCTTAGACTCATCTCCACAATCACCCATACATAATTACATCAGCCAACAACTCATTTCCTACATAACTTTGCAATCAAAATCTTCCAAGGACAGTACTTCAACCATTTTGTCTAATTTGTGGAGCTGGTAGTGGAGTCGCCTGACGTACTGGAGTTTGCCTCAGACTTCGACGACGTCGCACTACACTTCCATTTGTACTCTCGCGGACTAAACTTTCTGTCATTCACAGTTCAAATACAAGATTACTACACACAAACTAAATAAAAGCAGGGTCGATTTAACAAATAAAACTGAAGTTTTCAAGATTCGCACCTTGGATAGCTGAGAACTTGGCAATTCTCGCTTCTGTTACCATTGGCCATGAACTCATTGATAGAACTATACAGGCAACAAGCAAAGCACATACACCAACATTAATCTTGTAACACTTTGACATTCTGTATTACAAACCAATAATATTTATCTATTTACTTGTTTCTCAAAATGCACATTCCAACTCTCAACCATCAAAACAATTATATAACGCAACAAAGAGAATGTTTCACTTCATGAGCTCCATATTTTCCTTCTGATTGTTGTTGCCTGACACTAAAAGAAGAAGGTAAACAATCCCTGAGTAGGAAGGAAATCCATTGTTGCCCTAATAATTGGATCCTAAAAGAAGAATTGGAAGCCAGGTAGCGAAAGAGAGTAAAGAGTATCTAGTGTGGGCTTTCGTATTCTTATCTTCTCTCATTGATGAGTTGCAACTGTAAGTCGTGGTGTACAGCTTGATCCATGGAAGATAAACATATTTATATATAATATTGTCAAGAAAATATTCTTTTAATTTAGTGCAACATTTTCAACATGAAATACATTGATTGATCTATTTTACATATATTTATTCTAGAAGGGGTCTCGTGCTTTCCATTTTCAATATCCCCACACCCCACTTAATAGATTACTAGTATATTTCAGTGAACACAGAAATGTTGATGATCAACATTTCAAATTTAGCTTAAATCTTTTAGATATTGTCAAAAAAATCTTCTCGTTCAAGCCAAAAACAAGCATCGAGTCGACCATCGTTAACCATATTGCACATGTTGTCTACAAAAGCCAAGGCTGGACGACAAGTGGGTTATTACTTTCTGTATGTGGACGACACGTTACTCCCTAATCTTACACATATCCGACATGACGGTTAATAATAGTTCCCATAATTGACGTTTGGTTTCCATATCATGTCGTAGAGGACAAGTCATCCGATGATTGTGCTACTTTATAACTCAATGCAACCAAATTAGTTAGTAATTTATTCCCATCCGAAGTGGAATGCACCCACACAAAAAATTCTCTGTTTGTTTTCTGATTATAAAATCTAATTTTATTCTATTCAACTATTTTTAAACCTTCTAACTGAATGGGATGTTTTTATTAATTTTAAAGCTTTTATTATAGAGGGGTGTCTAACTAAATTAATAAATATAGAGGATCAAAAAATAATCTTACCAACACATTTTCAAATTCACATTCTCTTCTTGTAATAATAATAATCCAACTTAACTTTTAAAAAAAATACTATTCAAAATAATAAAACAAACACATCCCAAGAATTCATACCATTTTTTCACATTTTCCCTAAAATTCACACCATCCATTCATATGAATTTGTGAAATCTTTTCTTTTTATTTCGGTGAAAATTCATATCTTTATTATGAATTTTATAAAAAGAAATCTGAACATTAAGACTTTTGAGACCCCACTACTATGTAGGTCGACCTAAGTTTCTTTTTAAAGTTTTTCTAACATCAATAATACTTGATAAAAAAATATATTTAAGAGAAATAATATTATATTTACACTTAGTATTATGTGTGATGTGACAGTTGATTTGATAATATTCTATAAATTATATTATATCAACTTGTAAGATGTGAATTTAACATGACTAATATTATATGTATTAGTTAATTTGTACTAATCCAAGTACTAATATTTAAAATTTAAAATTTTTATTTTAAAAATTTTAAATTTTAAATATTAGTATTTGGATTAATAAACATTGGTTAATGAACGTAATTTTATTCTTTAACAATATTGATGCAGGATAAGTATGACAATGGTTGCCACTATCTTTTTAATCATTACTTACACTTTTACAATTTAAATGTTTTATATTATTTAAATGTTTTATATTGTTAACCAAGACATGTTGTTGTCTCTCTATCTCTATCTCTTTCACATTTATATTTATATTAATGCTTTATAATTTTTATTTATTTTTTCTTTTTATAAAAACAATATAATAATTTTAAACATGGATATCAACTAATTACCATTCATTGTTACAAGAAAAATCTACCATAGGCAACAAATTAAGAAATATAAATTATCTATATTTTATTTTCTCTTTCATCAATCTCAACAGCACCAATACATGATTGATATTTGATGGCTTTTAAAACAACTATTTATGCTACATATTTTTTATTGTTTTACCTATGAATGACGTGATGAATGATGCATTAGATATATGGTAGTTTTTTAAAATATTTTCATTTAAATTTAAAAGCACATTTGGAAAATAAAAGTTTTGAAAAACACGTTGCAAAATACATACTTCATGAAATTTCTATTCTCAGCCCTTTAAAGTAATAAATTTAAATATAATCCAGGATCCCACTTAACGGAAAATACATATTGATGAATTAATATTATCGGGTGTGTTTTGTTTTAGTATTTTTTAAAAAGTAAGGCTTCGTTTGTTACGTTATTGGGAATACTATTATTAGTATTCTCAATAAAGTTAAACAGTAAAATGTCATTATTCTTAAAATATTATTCTATATTTTTTAATTTCTTTTAAACCTTTTAAATTTGTTAATTTAACTAAACACCCCCAAATAATTTTTTTTAGAAATTACAAAAACACTCTAGCCACCCTTCGGCTGTGGTGGTCGACTGTCCGTATTTAATGGGTGGGTTGAGGATGTTTTTATTAACTTTTAATATTTTATTATAAGAATGTTTAGTAAATAAACAAACATAGGGAATATTTTTGTTAATTTTCAAATCTTACATCGTAATACCCACCCAATTTAATTTTTTTTCAAAATATTATTCTAAAAATTATCAAAATAATGAACCAAA